AACAGAAACCAGTAGCTTAGTCAATATAAAGTCTTATAAATACCGCAATGACCGATTCCGACATAATTCTTTCTTTAAACACAACATTGTTTTTCAACAAAAATACTAATGATGTATGTCAATATTTTTAAATAAAAGGAGATACGACATATCCATTAATGACGGGGCAATACAACAAATTAAATCACAAAAAGACATCTGAAGGATAACACTATACAGTAGTCTTTACAGTATCAGTGAGTATGTCACGCTCCAAATTGTCCCGACTTACAAAATTATGTAAATATTATCAAAAGAAACTATAAAAGACTTGACAGAAGCACTCAATTTTCAAAATACCACAACCAATTTTAAAATGGCATAATACAGCGACTGACAAGATTCCAAGCTTGGACAGGCACGCACACTAAGTTACTTTGAATTTTTGAAATACTAAGGCTTTTCAACCTCAGGAATAGATTAACTAAGCTGTATTTGGCAAAAATTTTAGGAATTTTTGTTCCTCAATGCTCTTCAACTTCGTATTTAATTTGGTCTTTTTAACTTTTTTTTTTATTCAAGGGTTACTGATGAGTCTTTCGCGTTTTGGGCAAATACAAAATTTCAATCCTGGTATCTATGATGAGTTTATTTAAAACAAAGCTTCAAGATACTGTAACTGTTACAATGTTTCAGATTTGTGTTTACATTATTACCTTAAACTGTCAGGTGCGCTCTAAAGTCATGTATGACCTCATAAAAAGATTGTTTAGATTTTATGCAGTTTTGTCGGTTGCAAAACATTCCGCTGGCATCTATTTCTTTTTTTAACAGACATGAGCATATACTTCAAGGCTTAAATACGTATCACAGGAGACGTCTGTATTTTCAACGCCACCGGTTTCACTGCGTTAAGAGTACAAGTTATACCAACAGGTTTTCCCCTAACACTGGTTATATATATAAAAAAAAAAACAATTTACGAGTTTTGAACATCGATAAAAATCTACTGTTACGTCTTGTTTACCCTTCCGGAGCACCTGAGTTCAACCCCGATTTTTTTGTGGGGTTCGTTTTGCTCAGTTTTTGGTTTTCTATTTGTGTTTGATGTAGTGTTGTTTGTCTGTTTGTCTTTTTCTTTTCTAACCATGATGTTGTCAGTTTATTTAAGACTTATGAGTTTGAATGTCCCTTTGGTATCCTTTGCCTTGTTTCTTTTGTCAATAACTTGTACATTTGTAAAATTCTTTTGTTAATAACTTGTACATTTGTAAACTTCTTTTGTCAATAGCTTGTACAATTGTAAACTTCTTTTGTCAATAACTTGTATATTGGTAAACTTCTTTTGTCAAAAACTTGTACAAGTGTAAACTTCTTTTGTCAATAACTTGTATATTGGTTAACTTCTTTTGTCAATTACTTGTACATTTGTGAACCTCTTTTGTCAATAACGTGTACATTTATAAACGTCTTTTATATAGAGAAATGTATATGTTTTATTTTGTTTCAAATATATAATCGACCAACCTATAGATACAGTCAACCCTGACTTCGTACATTAAACGATTTAAAACTCAGGATATCAAAATCACACAAATCGACTTACTGCTTACCAAACCATAATTATCATAGTATAAAAAACAAGGCAAGGGATATGAATAATACAATAGTTAGGGTATACGTTAATGGCACAGCTTAGCAACAATGACAAAAGTAAAAACAAATTAGTTAATGATCAATAAACAGTCTTCAGTATCTTGTCTTAGGGAGGACAAATCCTGCTATGTAAAATATCACTCTAATTCTAACAAAAAATTCTCTGAAACTGAAATCTTCAAGATGCTTGATATCTTGATTGACAAGATATTTGTTACGTTTGCAGGCATGTTTTTCAACATACAATCGGCTTTCCCAGTGGAACCAAATGTGCCCTTCTTCTTGCTGAATTGTCCCTTTATTCATATGAGGCTGTCTTCATACGGGAACTTCTTAGGAAGAAAGAAAAGAAGTTAGCAGTATCCTTTAACTTAACTATCCGCTACAAAGATGATGTTCTCTCACTTAATAATTCAAAATTTGGTGACTATGTATTTACATCTAGAAATTAGCAATGAAGGTTGGTTGAAAACAAAATTTTATGACAAAAGAGATGATTTCAGCTTCCCAATTGTGAACTTTCCATTTTTATGTAGCAACATTTCAGCAGCGCCTGCATACAGAGTATATATCTCCCAGTTAATAGGTTACTCCAGGGCTTGTATTTTCTATCATGATTTCCTTGATAGAGGGTTGCTGCTCACAAGGAAGCTATTTAACCAAGAGTGCCAAGTGGTGAAGTTGAAATCATCCCATCGTAAATTTTACGGACGCCATCACGAGTTGGTTGATTGTTACGGAATATCCGTTTCACAGGTGATAGCGGATATGTTCCTAATGTCGTAACTACAATCCCGTCCCCTTTTCCCGAATGTGACTTACCGAATAAGACTTATTACCGCGTTTGTTCTAACATGAGCAACACGACGGATGCTACATGTGGAGCAGGATCTGCATACCCTTCCGGAGTACCTGAGATCACTCCCAGTTTTTTGGTGGGGTTCGTGTTGCTCAGTCTTTAGTTTTCTATGTTGTGTTTTGTGTACTATTCTTTGTCTGTTGGTCATTTTCTGTTTTAGTCATTGCGTTGTCAGTTTATTTCCGACTTATGAATTTGAATGTCCCTTTTGGTATCTTTCGCCTCTTTCTTATAGAGCATCATGAGCTCTAAATATTCGGGAGTCTATACAAAAGAGAGGTACTAAATGGATGATTAATTCGAAGACAAACTGACAACGCCAGTGCACTAGCAAAAAGCGAAAAACGACCAAAATACAGATAAAAAACAAACAAAACACAGCATAGAAAACTAAAGACTGATCAACGTGAAATTTACCAGAAACCGGAGGTGATCTCAGGTGATCCAGAAGGCTAAGCAGATCCTCCTCCATAAGAGACACACACGGTGGTGTTGCACAAGTATGTACAAATTCGGTGATAAGTCTAATTCGATTATGTAACTTTCGAGGAAAAGAGGACGGGGTTGTGGTCACGACACCTTGAAATTATCCGTCGTCATTTGTGAATTAGATATTCAATAAGAGTCAACCAACTCGTGATCGCGTCCGTAAAACAATTTAAAGGAATGACTGCATTTTCACCACTTTAAACTCTTGAAATAATTGCCTCATTTTAAGCAGCAATCCCCCATCAGGAAAATCACGATAAGAAATGCCAGCTCTGGAATATCGTATCGGAGTAATTTACTTCATATGCAAGCGCTATTGAAATGTTGCAACATGTAACAGGAAGCTGAAATCCTTTCTTTTGACGTTTTGGTCTCACTTTGTAAATGCAAGCATTGTCATTATATTCCAAGTAAAATACGGTTTAAATGTTTAAAGGTTCTAAGTTGACATGGGAATTTTATGAAGGCGAAACGGAAATTTATCTGAAATGATTTTAAAATGAACAATAATATGTTATGACTGTGTTGTTGTTTAAGAATGTTTTAATTTACATTGCTCTTCTGTTTATAAGATATTTAACAAAAATATTAACGTGAGCTGTTTATAATGAAACAAGTAATACAAAATACAAATTTAGATTTTGTTTAGCTTAACTTTTCATAACAATTATATATTATGAAAATCAGAAATTCATCAGTTGTCATCGCTATGGGTGAGATGTGGGTGGAGAACATAGACTAATCTACTGTTCTCGTTTTGCCTCATTCCGATTGATATAAGTTTACGAAATTTTCTATTAAGGGATAACAAAAACATGATCTTTGATTCTTTTTTTAAATCGATAGCGTTCTTTAAATTCATGGTAGATTGATGTCTTTGCTGTCAAAAACATTGTATTACAATTCCTTGCAAATCCGACTATTAGGAACAAATATATCGACGTTTGATTGTGTAGATTGCAAATAATTTTACGGCAGTAGTGCATCTTTTGTGCAGTTCTTCTGATGCTGGTGGTTCAATTTGGCGTCATTTATATAAAAAATATATTGATCAAATCTTTATAAAAAAAAATGTTACAACCACGGGTTTTTTTTAATATTGCCGGTGGTACTATGATTTAACTCAACATTGTTTTCAACAAAAATCCTAATGATGTATTTTAGCATATTTTAGCATATTTGAATAAAAGGAGATATGGCATGTACATCATTGACCGGTCATTACAGCATATTAAATAACAAAAGGACATATAAAAGGCAGTCGTAACATTCTACAGTAGTGTATACATTATGTCACGCTCTAAACTGTTCCTAGTTACAAAATAATGTGAATACTTTGAACAGAAACCTTTAAAAACATGCCAGACGCTCTAGACTTTCAAAATAACACAAACAATTTTAAAATGACATAAAAAGCGACTGACAAGATTCCAAGCTTCGACAGGCACGTACAGTACACTTACTAAAAAAACGAAATAAGAGTCTTCAGCAAGGTTTCAGATTTCTATGTGCATTATTAACTCAAACTGTTTGGTCCGCTCTAAAATGATGTATATGACATCATAAAAATTTGTTTAGATTTTATGCAATTTTGTAAGTTCCAAATATTTCGCTAGAATCTATATTTAGAATCTGTTCATAGATTCTTTTTTTTTTTTTCTTTTCTGCATATTGTTCATTTATTCAGAGAATCAACGTGTGTCAAAATCAGGTCTTACTAATTAATTTTTCCGACTTAAAGAAACATATTTCTCATTTTTTTTTTTTTTTTTTTTTAACACTCAAATTGATACTTTATTGCACAACTTGCTGTTAACAATAACACTTGATGTACAGCATTCCATCAAGTATCCCTGTTAATAGTGCCACCGAATATCCAGGGAGAATATTCAGTAGAATTAACAAAAAGAAAAAAAATTCTATCAATATCTAAATAAATAAATTGCTATTACAAATAGCTGTTTTAAATAGTCTACTACAAAATATGTTTATTTTTCTCTATATAAAATACTATATATTCATGTAACATTACACACGTTATCACAAAAGTTCGTCAATATATTACGGAATTTATCACTATTTATTTCGGAATGAGTTTTTGTATACTATCTTAAATGTTCCAGAAACTAAATGCGGTCACTGGTCGATGACCTCGCACGTTTTTTGTGCTTCAAGTTGGGATTTACACAATTCTGCAATGTTTTGTAATTTGGAATAAAAATACGAAAAGGTGAGATGTTTTAATTATATGTTTTATCTGTTATAAATCAAATGATTTGAAATAAATGTGTTATTTATTTGACCTACATAACGTTATGAACAATTGAACATGATCCCGTGTCGTGACCTTAAAATACCTATCAGCTATTTTGTAAACATACACATACTTGAATTTTCTGAAGTCATATTCGTACTACACACACACAGACAGATTCAAACATCCAAGATACACACACAAAACTCCTTCATAGTTGCATGTTTTATACATTTTAAGCATCACATTTGAAATTATATGCAGATAGGCTATAAAATATTAAGTGCCTCAAATTTTCAAGAATAACATCAAATTCTGTACACTTAGTTACTATATCTGCCCAGTAACATGGTATTAGTTATATTGTTCTTTATTTTTACCCCTTTTTCTTTATTTCTTAGCCAATTATTTTGAAGCAAATAAAGTATCCACACCCATATATACATACTTGTACAATGTAGACACACACACCAAACACACACACACACACACACACACACCAACACACACACACACCAAGTACAGATCTTTTCATATATATATTATAAGTAGATAATAAGTACTTGTATACCTTAACATTTAAGGTATCAGGTGCATTTATAAGCACATTGACAGCATATTGATATTACAAAATACTTTATGCTACATGTATATTTTCACATTTCTATAACATTACCTTAGTTTTTTCTCAAAATGTTATACACTTTTGTTAATAAACAGTTTATCTTCATGTTTACCAAACTATATAATTCTACTATATTATTTATTTCATATTTAAATATTTTCATTGTATCTACCCATTTAGATTTTTTATTCGAAACATAGTGTGCCTTATAGACTGAAAAGAACACTAAACTAAGCAAATGATTAAGTGCAAAGTAAGCTTTATCATTAATTTTGTATCCTATGACAAGAGAACGGAGACTTATAACATGTTCTTCTATGCCAACTCTTTTGAGTAAATCTTTCATTGATTTCCAAAATATTTTATGATATTGACATGTAATGAAGAAATGGTTATAGTTATCTAGTTCATTGCAATAAGTACATAGGTCATTTTGTGCAATTTTCCACTGGAAAAGCAGCTGTTCATTTGGTAAAATAAAATGCATCAATTTCCATCTGAACATTTTTATTTTATTATCTTTTAGATACTCAAAAGTGAATTTAATAGAGTCTTTGAATTCATTTTTGAGACTTCCATTACCAAAGAGTCTTTCCCATTTAGCAAATCCAATTGGCGTTTCTGTTATTACTTGACCTAGCACTATTTTATATATGTCTTTATTATTGATAGTAAGGATATCAGTATTGTCTCGAAATTTGATTCTAGTTCGGTTAATATGAACATTAGTTTTGAATGATTCTTCTGATTTTAATATGTTGACCCATCGTTTTGGTATGGAATTTTTAATTTTTAAGATTTCTGCAATCCAATTACTTTTATTTTTCAATTTTGAAATAATTTTTTCTTCTGATATCTTCCCCCTTTTATCGATTATGTCATTAATATATAATATATCGCTGTCAATCCAGTTATCAAAGAACAAACAGTTTCCTTGAAATTTTATAAATCTATTTCCCCATATTATTTGTTTTCTAATATCTAAATAATTCTCAATTTGATCATGATTAATATTGTTACAATTGTTAACATTTATCCATGTTTTTATCATCTCTTGATAGAAAATTGGTGTTTCGTTCCATATTTTTTTATCTAGCATTTTTATTTTATTCAAATTTATCTTGAAAATAAGTAAGTTTTTGCCAAATTTATTGAGGTATAGCTTTGGTAATACAGCCCAATTTGCATTCCCTGATTGTATTATTTTTATAATCCATTTTATATGTATTGATTTTATATAAGACTCGATATCAATCATATTTAAACCCCCCTCTGAAAATTTTTTAGTAATTATTGACCTTTTTATTTTATCTTTTCCTCCATTCCAAATAAATTTATATATTAAATTATTAATATTTTGTAGTTTATCTTTACTTATGATACTATTAGTTGCAATGTAAGTTATATTTGGTAGCAAAAGAGCTTTTACGATTAATATTTTTCCCAATTGGGTTAATCTTCGTTTTGACCATCTATCTACAAGTTTTGCTATTTTATCCATGACTTTTTCCATATTCAGTGTGTCACATTCTTTTCTGTCATAACCAAAGTAAATACCTAAGCTTTTAATTGGTTTATTTGTCCAATTTATATTTTCATATTTATCTTTTGAACTTTTTAATTTTCCTAACCATATCCCCTCTGTTTTATTTCTATTTAGTTTTAATCCTGAAAAGCTGCCAAATGTTTCAATTATACTAAGAGCCAGACTTATTTCTTTTCGTGACTGAAAAAAAAGAGTTGTGTCATCAGCTAATTGACAAATTTTTAAATTACATGATTTTCCATCTAATTTTATTGTTATTCCTTTAAAATCTTTATTACTTCTTAGCCTTATTGCCATTAATTCTACTGTTATGACAAAAAGAAGAGCAGAAATCGGACACCCTTGTCGTATACCACGATATATTTTAAACGGACCTGAAACCCACCCATTATTTAAAATACAGCCTTTAATGCCATTATACATAGTTTCCACCCATCTGATAAAGCCATTTTTAAATCCAAACTTTTTTAGCGTTTCTGTCATAAATGTCCATTCCAAAGAGTCAAAATCTTTACTAAAATCCAAAAAAAGTATTGCTCCTTCTATATTAAATTTTTCAGAGTAATCTATAATGTCTTGTATTTGTCTAATATTAAAACCTATGTATCTATTTTTGACATATCCAGTTTGATCTAGACTAATTATAGAAGGAAGAACATTTTTCAGTCTCTGTGCCAACACATAAGCTAGTAATTTCGTATCAATATTCAATAATGTTATAGGACGGTAATTATTTAATGAAAAAGGGTCATTCTTTTTAAAAATAAGCGAAATAGCACCTTTCTTTTGAGAATTTGTTAATTCTTTTTTTTCAAAATTATTATTGAAAACCTTGACCATAATATTCTTTAGACTACCCCAAAATTGTCTATAAAATTCTACTGTCAGCCCATCCAGACCAGGGGATTTATTTAATTTCATTCTAAATATTGCATCTGTACATTCAGTTTCTGTTACATTCCCTTCACATTGAATACTATCCGAGTCTTTTAGTTTTTTTGGTATTTCTGTTTCTTTAATATACATTTTAACATCATTATCATTAGGATTAGTTGACTCGTAAAGCTTTTTGTAGTATTTCACTTGTAAATTTAGAATTTTATCTTGGTCAGTTGTCGTAGATCCATTTTCATCATATAATTCAGTTATGATCTTTTTTGTTTGACGACTTTTTTCTAGTCCCAAGAAGTTGCACTATTTTTTTCCCCTTCTTCAAACCATTTTACCCTTGACCTAATTTTTTGCCCTTTAATTTTATCTTTATACAAACCCTCTAACTTATTTTCAACCTTCTCAATTTCTATTTTTAAGTTTTGACTTTTATCAATACCATTATCTATTTCATTATTAAGATTATTCAGTTGTTTTTCTAGAATATTAATTTCATCCTTTTTTAATTTAGCTTTAATTTTACAGTAGTCTAAACTTGCATCCCTTACTTCTATTTTCAAGTTATCCCATAGTATCCCCAGATCATTGCAGTTGAATGAATCTTTTTCATATTTAGATATCAACTTTTTGATTAAAATTGTGTAATCTTCATTATTTAAAACACTTGAATTTAATTTCCAATAGCCTCGTCCCTTATTTCCTCTGTCAGTATTAATTTTTAATGATACCGCATTATGATCAGTTAGTTTTTGGATTATAGGTCTAATGTCACAACTTTTACAATTTTTTTGTACTTCTTTTGATATAAAGAAATAATCAATCCTTGTGGCTTCTGATCTATCTTTTCTACACCAGGTAAATTGTCTTGTGTTTTTATTTTTGATTCTCCAAATATCTATTAATTTGGATGATTTTATCAGCCCTTTCAAACTTGTTACTGGTTTATCAAATTTTTTGGAGGATTTAGTTTTGTTTTTTGTATCAGTCAATGACCAAATATCATTCAAATCGCCCCCAAGGATAGTTTGGCCTAGTCCATTTTTATTTATATAAGATTTAACTTTTTTGAAAAAACTATTTCTTTCTCTGAATCTATTTGGAGCATAGATATTAACTAGTGTGTAGATATTTTCATTAATTTCAATGTTAATTAAGATAAATCTCCCTTCAGAATCCTTGTGTTCATCTATAATTTTGAAATGAATTCCATCCCTTAACCATATTGCTACCCCACGCGAATTACTTGTTCCATCACTTCTTAAAAGATTTTCACCAAATTCTTTATTCAAAGTATCTTGCATTAAATTTGTGAAATGAGTTTCTTGAATAAATATTATATCACATTTTTGTTGATTTGCCCAACTAACTATTTTAATTATTTTGTCAGGTTGCTGCAGGCCATTAGCATTGACCGTGCATATATGCAGATATTTATTCATGGTGGATTATAGTTAAATTTAATTATCTTCCTGAACTCCAAGCATGGTGAGTAATTATTCTTATTATCTCTGTAGTATTTTATCTTCAGCATTATTTGTTTATTACTTTTGATTGTGCCTACATTTATTTGAACTTTGAATTCTTTTATTTTTTTCCTTTTATCCGTTTCATAGACTTTACATGCTTGGATGATTTCTATTAGATTATCAGATCTGAGATATTTACCTGTGGAGTTGAAATCTACATCTTTGTTCATATGATTCTTTAAATGGCTGTCTAATATTTTGAGCAGTTCTTTATCACAAGCATTAACATATCTTACTTGATTTTTTTTTGTACTTAGTTTTTGATAATCTGTGATTAATATATTTATCACTTTTATAATGTTTATTCTGTAAGAAATTTAAACACCTGCTCCCCAGGTATACTAGTTCTCTATTTACAATTGTATTCGATCTATATTTTGACCTCATCCTATTTATAGCCTGTCTGGTCAATGTTATTTCATCTAGTTTTGAGGAGTTCATTTTAACTTTGCTTAATTTGTTGTGAATAGAGCTTTTTATGTTTATTTGTAAGATGATACATAAACACCTATTTAGTACATTAAAATACAATATACTCCACAAATACATTTTGTATAACATGATTATCAAAGTTATTAAACAAATAACTACATTTACACAGCATACTACTTTATTAGCTAGGCTTTCAGAGTAACACTTCTTTCCCTTTTTCTTACATATTTTTACATTCTTATACATAATTTCATACATATTGTTTTTATTTCCATTTACAAATTGATTAATTGTTTTATATGTCTTTTTCAGGATAACAACTACCTGAATTGATTGTGGATAACCTTCAACAGCTATACCACTCAAACAGTTTAAATGATATTCTGGATAATATATACAGTTAAAAATAAGTAAAAACAGTGCTATACAGACAGTATTGTGAGGAATGTGATTTTTATAATGCATTTTGGTTTTTCGATTTTTTTTATTTTTTTTTTATTATTGTTATAATAAATAAATTTTAGTCTTTATTTTTTGTAGTTCTTTACACATATATACAGTTTATGGTTTCTTTTTCTGCTTCTTTGCAGCTTCCTCTCTTGTAGCGTCGTGTAAATTTTCAGTTGGCGTTACTGGTGATTTTTCAATGTTTTGAGTTCTTGTTCTTGACTTGTTAGGCGTTTTGTTTGTTGCATTAGCCTGCTCATGACCAGGTTTTATTAAATATCTTGAGATGCCAGGTCTCCTGTAATCACTTTTAGGATGTTTTGGTTTTTCCTTCTTTTTTGGTGAATTGTCTTTTCTGGCGGACACCCTATCGTGATTATCGAGGATCGATTGTGAATGTTCTGTGTCACTCTCTGACCTACTCTTATCCTCGGTACTCATGAGAGGTTGTGTCGAACTCCGGAAATGGACCTCACTCTCCTGACTTGGCTTGTCGATATCATCTTGGTCTTGATTCTGCTCATAATTCTCACTATTGTCGTGAACATTAGAATTATCTTGTTTATTATCGCCATCAGTGTTAGTCATATATGAATCATTACCTTCAAATTCTCCTGAGTTTTCGTCGCATTCATACTGCTTATGGCCTGTTTGACCACATTTTTTGCACTTCCATCCATTCGGACATAGATTCTTGAAATAGATACTGCACTCCATATGAAACTTAACACAACTTAGAATATCGAAAGGATCAATTGTAATGAATTTATAATAAAAGCTTTCATGGCAAAAACTAAGAAATATTCATAAACTAAGTTTTTGAAAACACATTTTGAATTTTGGGTTAAAATTTATTTTTTTCTAAATTCAATGTTGACATTTCTTTGAAAAATATGATTTTTCTAACAGATAGGAGCATATACTTAAATAAGTATCATAGAAGACATCTATATTATCAATGACACCGGTTTCACTGCGATAAGAGTAAAAGCTATACTCACAGGTTTTTTCCACCTCATAGTGTATATAAAAAAACAATTTACGAGTTTCGAACATCGATAAAAATCTATACTGTTACCTCGAGCTCTTGTTTACCCTTCCGGAGCACCTGAGCTCAACTCCTTTTCTGATGGGTTTCGTTTTGCTCTGTTTTTAGTTTTCTATGTTGTGTTTTGTGTACTGTTGTTTTGTCTGTTTGTCTACTTCTTTTATTCATGTTGTTATCAGTTTATTTTCGACTTATGAGTTTGAATTCCCTTTGGCATCCTTTGCCTCTTTTTTATATCATTTGCATCGTTTCTTTTTTCAATAACGTATATAAAAAAGAAGATGTGGCATGAGTGCAAAAGAGACAACTCTATGTGTAAAAGGTTAACAATTGTAGGTCAAAGTACGGCCTTCAACACGGAGCCTTGGCTCACATCGAACAGCAAGCTATAAAGGATCCAAAAATGACTAGTGTAAAACAATTCAAACAGGAATACCAACTTTCTAATCTATATAAAAATCGAGAAACGAGAACGACCTATGAACTACACCAGCAAACGACAACCACTGAACAACAGGCCCCTTGTAAACTAATCTTGTATGATTAAATGTATATGTTTTATTTTGTTTCAAATATATCATCGACCAACCTATAGATAAAATTAAACTTGACTGTGTATATTAAACGATTTCCAAACTCATGCTATCAAAATCACATAAATCGGCTGACTCTGTACAATAAAATGGCAGAAACATTTTAACAATTTAACAGAAGGAAAAGATATATTAGATACCCCGTCACATAAACTGATTCGGTCATTGATCAACACCGTCTAGCGTAGGTGCATAAACGGAAATAATTCAATAAACTCTCTGACATGGTCATTGAACGTGCCATATTATCGAAACTGACATCTAATACAATCCTAGCTAAACAATATAACGCACGAAAGTATGTCAATACAGATTGGCCATAAAGAAACAGATAAGTGTCTATAGCTGGTGTACTTTAATGTAGTAATTTAATCTGGCGAGGAAAAAAAACCGGTCAGAGTAACGTTACGTAACATAGAAAAAAACTTATCAAAGATTCTAAGCATATTATTTTGAACACCAGACGCGCGTAGCGTCTTCAATTGACTCATCAGTTACGCTTGAATCAAATAAAGTTAAAAGGATAAATAAAGTACACAGTAGGAGAACTTGAGAGACAAAAATTATCACAAAAAGTAACTTCCAATATCATACATACTCTTCACCAGGGAATTAATCTCCGCAATGGCAATTAAGCTTCCTGTTGATTTGAATTTCCATAGATGTACTTTCAAAAACGATAGTACTCTAGAAAATCCATGTCCGCGGATACATAGAATAAGACGAGTTGGGTAAAATAACACAAAGCAAGAAGTGCCCCGGGCTTATCTCCATCAAGCATCTAGTGATTCGGTTTGGGCAAAATCTAAATCATTTAATGAGTCAGTAAATTTCAAGTTCAGAAAAAAATGTAATTGGGCACTGTTGGGCTATAAAATGTATAAGTACAGATAACTTAATTGATCCCAGACTGTTATGACTGTTCACTTAAAGTCTTTTTGGATGTTATCCTCTAAAATGTTTTATTTCTTTGGCTAACAATACTTTCCGTCTCGAGCGTAGATGATGACGGAAATTCCCCGCTTAATGATATAAAGGTTACTGGGTAATTCCATTGTCCGTATCTCAAAATATGAATAACGTCACGTAGTAGGTTAAAATACTATTATTCATGACGTTTTGAACCAATCAAAATATTGTGGTATACCTTTTGAAAAAATTACCCAGAGTTCATTATATTCCGAAACCCTGAATTCAGTATATTCTGAAAAAGCTAACTAGAAAAACATATGTTAATTATGCTCATAAAATTATATCATGAAGTTTTAACTACAATCCCCACTGAGTAAGGCTTCAACTCCCTACGGTAATACTACTTTACCATAAACTGAATTGCCTTTTATTCATCTTTTTAGTCAGTAATAATTTCATATGTTTTAATATAATCGAGTTTTTTAAACCAGGATACGTTTCAATTTTTCAAAAAATAAGATAGTGTATTGGAAGGTAGTTCGATATCACGTTACTTTCTCCTCAAATTCCTCCCCGAGTTAAAGAAACAAGCAATTACAGCTCGCATAATGGTTTAATACACATTGTAAACTCTTTCAGTATATTACTTGACCTTTCATGTTTGTTTACTTTTATTATATTTAATCTACCGTAGTATGAAACATTAAACATACACCATAATGAAATTAAATCTTACGGTCCTTCAACTTCATCATATACTACATTCATCTCACGTTTATCAATGTCTGCATTTTTTTCCATATTTGAAGAAATTTGAAGCTACCATCTTCATTGGCTATCCATTTCAATTAAGATGATTTGTAACGAAACTGACATTAGAATATCATATCTAAAATGGAATTAAATCGTCTTAAAACTATATTTAATTTCATTTGAATGGAGAAAATTAAATCAAATATTTTTGATTAATCCAATTTTGTTAAAATTAAATTTGGCTGTCAATTGTACTGATATTATCATTGATGAGGATTTGATGAATTGGCATGTGTGACTGTCAATCAGACCAGATCTCTTGCTTTGTCATGTTTAACATTATTATCCTTACTTATATCAAAGTAGACTTTAATTATTTTGAAACTACAAAATGAAAATGACTTTAAATCCTTGTAAGAATATTTCAAAAAGACATGGGAATTTGATCTGAAACTGACGAGTTTGCATAAGGGATAACTACACTGCAAATCCTTTTAAACAACTTTTTTTTTATAGAAATTTCGTATTATCGAGCATGTGAATTGCAGTATGTATTGCTCTCCAGTTGGACAACAGAGATTTACTATCTGCTTTTATACAAAACCTTATCAACAAATATGACAAGTTATGGATTTTAATAGGAGAAACACGAGAAGTACACTTTAGGTCTACCGATTTCTACCTCGATTGTTTTGTTGTTCGTTTTTCACCATCTTTCGGGTCCGAGTTGATGGTGTAACATCTTACAAAGACTACGGAATTATTTGTCTTATACATACGTTATGTCTTGCCAAGTAATCTAATATATATCTCGATGTGCCCTGTGGTTGTATAAAAGTTTGTATTGGTTTTTGTACGCTTCATTGTAATTGTCGGGCTAATTTTTGATAGTAAATGAATGATTTCTTTGCCAGATTATTTTATTGATTAAAAAGAGACGAAGGATACCAAAGGGACATTCAAACTCATAAGTAGAAAATAAACTGACAACGCCATGGCTAAAAAAGAAAAAGACAATCATTCTATTACCTCCTGACTTTGTTTATCAATTCACAGTTGTTGCGTGATCGTCAGATTGCAAAGAATTTCGCATAAACTAGAGTATTTTTTTCTAATCCTTGGTGAAGATGTCACTGAGACTTTCAGATGAAGAACAGCGATAAAAGCGCTGTTCATTTGCTTCATGTGATGTTTGCTGTGCATGTACCAATGTGTATCCTTTCTTTTCTATTACAAATATTCTTTGATTCTCTTTGAAATTGGATACATGTTAGTGACTAATATATGTTGTACGAAAATCCATTCATTGAGAATGTGCCAAAGCTGAAAGTATGGACAAAAATGATGGACAAATATGAAAACTATAAAGATTAGTTTACTCTAATTGCATCTGCATTTTGCATTATGTGTTTGATTTGTGGACTCTGATTTGTCTTTGTGTTTTTGAATGAAATATAAAGGGACATTTTAAAATCTATTTATCACATACTTATAAGCATTTTTTTTAAAACTTTGGGAACATTTTTATTACTATCTGTTCAGATACATATAGACCTACATGTTATTTCTTTCATTTTAATATTTTCAATATAACGTAGCTTTTATTAACAACAGTCCTTTAATATTATAATGCCCATATCTGTTTTTTCGATAGTGAAAGAGTTCTTTATTTTCTCAACAAGTTCCGCTGTCTTTTTTCTCGATGTTATAAAAACGAGAATCTTACTCGTCAACCATTGTTGATAGGAACGGTTATGACGTCATTGAGATAAACAAA